GCTGCTGCTGCTGTTCTTATCGTTCAACACCAAACTAGACACACAAATTGAAGGCAAAATTTGAAGGAAGATCTCGTCAAATTCTTTCAAGACTGTTTGCCAATCACAAGACTTTAGGCAACTGATAGCTTTCACTTTATCTCTAGCAGTGTCCAGTTGGCAATGCTACAGTTACTTGTCCACAACTGGAATCCTTGAAGATAACGATAGTAAAAGCAGACAGACACCAGCTAGCAATGGCACGGTTTTCGTGAAGTTGTGTGGTGCTGGTTAGCTTCTTACGATTTGCTAGAACTATGTAAAAAGTTTAGATAACCAGTGGTCACCTGCTGGGCACCCCGGACAGGGAAGTCGGGGGTCTTCGGGGTTTTTGTTTTGTTTTGTTGTTGTTGTTAGTTATTTAGTTGGTTGTTTAGTTGGTTGTTGGTTTTTTGGTTTTGTTTTTTGTTTTTGGTAAGTGTTTTCACGGCGCTTGCAATTGCGTAAGGGCATATGAGCGCGTGGAACACATTAAACATTATATTTTTCAGTTTGGTAGGAATTATCTTTGGGGTTTGCTCTGCTTGTTCCGTAGAAACCATGCTACCTGTAGATTTTTATTTTTTTTATCAATACCAGCTACAATTAATTAATATTCGTTACGCCAGTGGCCCAGTGGTTAGACTTTCGTATTCGCAACCTTAAGGTTTGTAGGTTCGAATCCCGTGAGGGGCCCAACTTTGAGTCCTTGAGATAAGTACTGTACACGAATTTTCCTCTCTTCACTTAGTAATGACAGCGAAACATCTTGTCAGTTTGTTAGTGTTTGAGCGCGTGCAATCTGCAGGTTGCACTGTATGCTTCCCTAGAAGCTGAGAATGTTTCTGGGTTGTGTGCTTTGGTCTGCTAGGGTAATAACAGTTGCAAAGCGCTTAAAGCATGCAGAAGAGCGTAGATAGAATCTATGCCCTGAGTTAATCAATTCTGTGGTGTCTGTCCGTTGTGCGTGGCGTCAGTAGCCTCCCAGATCTGTAACCGGGAGATTGCGGGTTCGGGGGGGGGGGGGGTGAAATTCGAGCCTCAGCTCGGCTACACATTATGCCTTATTAATTGTATTGGTCCTTTCGGTGATGGACGTTGGATGCTAGTACTGATAGCAGCGTTAAACCTATACCATTTCCCTTTTTTTAAGGTTTGCTGTGTGATGATAGTATATTTTCTTTGTTGTTGCTGTTGTTGTTGTTGCTGTTGTTGTTTGTTTGTTTGTTTGTTTGTTTGTTTTTCAGGGGAAAAGGAGAGGGTGATAAGAGAAGCAACCGGGAGAGTTCAGTAATAATATAATTAAGTGAACTACAGAGAGCTGGGAGGGGAGGGGGGAGCTGCTGAGAAACCCTGGAACGTTCAGAGATTTCTTTGAGCAGAAAAGCCACAAACCTCAAACACCGGCAGACAATTGAACACCCATTGTATTACTTTTAGCACAAAATAATAATGGCTGTGAAGGTTCTTCCTATACTCCTTCGGCGTCGCCAATCTCCACACCAGTTTTCTATAGGCACCTACTTGACATAGCCTAGCAAAGGCTTAATTTTGCTTGATGAGGCACGGATATCTCACAGATATAAAAGGTCCAAAGCGGCGACAGATCGGTACAGTATGGTTTAGCCAACAACTGGGAACTCTTCGTAGACTCCAGAGATCAAATAACCGGAAAAGGTGCCGTATACCTCTGCCGGCTGGCCGTACAGGTCTGTGGCGTCGGCCGTTGTGATGTACACCTGGTCGCTCTTAGCCAGTCGCAGAATCACAGAGTTCCCTAGTTTGGAGAAAGGAGCCAGAGCAGACGGATGGTGTCGTATATGACGTTACATAAAGTCGCAACAGCACGAAACGAAAAGATTCCACGTCCACTAACTTTATTGTAAAACTTCTCACAGACTTATCTGAACACATTGGGCTTGAGACCACTGGATCTATAACTTGAATATTTAATAATGTATTAGTGAAGTGACAACATAAAAAGTAGAACTTTTTATTGCCTGTTCTTCAAACCTATAGAATTTGTTGACAAAGAGAGGAGCTAATTCAGTGCCAACAAAAGTAGATCTAGTAGGATATTGACTTTTCGTGTTTCTTTGATCTGCAAGAACATTCTGTTCAATTCAGCCTGTCGTACGGTCTCTATGCATTTAATGGTTTGGCCTTTTATAGCAATTGCTGATAAAATGTGGAAATCAACTATTCGAGCAGGAGTGGAAGGAGTATGTGTGTGTGTGTGTGTGTGTGTG